GAAGTTTTACACAATTGGGACACCTTCAAAAACAACAAGCTACTTCCCTAAACTCACATTACCCAACTGTCCATTCAAATTCGTTCAACTAGCCACACATTTACACTGAAATGTAGCCACAGCTAGCAACTTATATATTAGTAGTACTGGTTTAACGTTAGCTAGCTTTGGGGCCTTGCTCGAGTTAGCCAGCTACCAACCCACTAAAGTTATGAAACCGAAAGTGGACGTATTTTACACCGAATGAAGGATTAAACAAACAAAATAATAGAGATAACAGTCTTTCAAGACAAACTCACGATGGTAATAGCGACAAAAATACGGCTAGCAGTCAAGCTAACATGTAATGAATTATTCTGCTGCACAGCTAGTGTTATACATTTCTGTGCCAAACTTACCACCGTCCAGAAACTCCTCCCGAAAGTAAACCTTTGCATGTGCGCAGTAAACTGCTAATATTACCGCAACTACACCCAGGACCTGCATTTTCCCCATTTCGGCTCAACTTTCCACTGCTGACAGCGTCCTTGCTGAGTGCTGAATACCTTGAGGAGAAGGAAGAGATGGGAATATTTTAGAGTCGCTCCAGCGAACAGATGTCTGCTTGTCATTGGTCAACGACACGGTGTGGCTGGACCAATGACAGTAGACCACGAAACATATGTCCGCTCCACAACCTGATCCAGGATCAGTGCTTATTTAGATCAGTCAGACTTGTCATGATATCAACAGTCCTGTAGAGGGTGCCAAAACTCAAATGTAGAAAATAAAATGGCCAGCAGAGGAAGTCACGGAAGTCACCACTGCACTAACGTCAGTCAGCTGATGATAATCAAACAAAGACCAAAATACTTCATGCACACTTTATTTAAGGCCCAAATGAGCATGAATACATTTTTTGTGTTAAATGTGGCCATCATCCAGCTGTGGTTGTCATGGACCTCCACAAAAAGGGTTTTTTCAACATGCCAGGTAAGTGCATTAGTATATGCACTCTTACGTAGTTTTAAGATATAAACCTAAACTTTTGTCATCTAAAAATTCATGATATTTCAAGAACGTCTTGAGGGAATTTCATCAAATTTGGCACAAACCTCCACTTGTACTCAGGATGTACTGATTAGAATTTGGAGGTCAAAGGTCACTGTGACCTCTCAAAACATGTGTTTGGTCATAACTCAGATATTCATACTCTAATTTTGACAACATTTTGCACAAATGTGTAATTTAGACATTTTATTTCCAAAAGGTCAAAGATCAACTTCACTGTGACATCATAATATTAAGCAAAAAAAACCTTTCTGGCTATTATTTAAGGTCATAAATCAGGAACATTTGGTTGGATACTGAATTGGTAAAACTGGTGACACTAATCCTGGGTGCCCATCTTGAAACTGTGATGACTGTATAGAGCTTCTGTGCTGCCAGGGGGAAGATGAGTGTGAAGCATCCATGTTTTGGAATATGTAGCTTTAGAACAGTATCGTCAACTGTCATGGCCACATATGTGAGTGGACTGACATCATGGAGGTAAACTGTAACTGCGACCGTGAGACAATATATATATAGGTATAAGAAATAACCCTTTTGCTGTACAACCTGCATATGAGTTCTGGGCTGTTCTGGATGGACGACGCACCCAGAAATTAGATGTTCTTAAGACTGAGAGACAGTGCATCGTTCCATGGAGCCAGCAGAAATGGCTGATGTGTCAGTCGCAGAAAATAGACCTTCAAATGAGGCCATGCAGCTAAAGGCAAGCTTTGCATGTCATCAGAATACCAAATTTCTCGTAATCTATAAAAGTGAAAACTGTCTTAGATAAAAGTCCTGTATTGTGCATTTCCCTAACCGGTAAGACAGCTTTGCAAGGAGAGGTGATTGGACCATTAAGCTTCAAAAATGGACCTCATTCTCCATCTGAGGATGGAAATATGATTCTTGAGAAAGTCTGGGGAGCTTCAGATATGAGCTTGTTTATTTAATCATACTGCTTGTAGTGTTTTTTTCAAGACACTAAGAAGTTTCTTGTATAAAATGTCTGATTTTGAGAGCAAGGCAAGTTTTTTATGAGTTTCACTTTCAGTTTAACTTTAAATAGAAAGTTTTTTTTAGTTAACATGTATGTATGGGAAGTGCATAGCATACCACTGGTTAAATGAGTTTTGCTGTTATAAAACATGGTTCCCAATCAATCAATAAATCAATATGTTTTACTGCAAGTGTGATATGGAATAGATTTAGAGTATGATCATTATAAATTATAGTCAAGAGCAGAAAACAGGGGCGCCCAGTGGCTCGCTAGTTTTAGTGGGTGTCCTGTGTACAAGGGCATTGTTCTTGCCGCAGCAGCCGTGGGTTTGGCTCTAGCCTGCAGCCCTTTGCTGCATGTCATCCCCTCTGTCTCCCCCTTTCACACTGAAGTCTGTCCTGTCCCCCCCAAAATTGTAAAAGAACAGAAGACAAAAATAATGCCCTATACTGTACTTGCATAACGAAATAATTACAAAAGAGTTTGATGTTGAAACTGCTCAAAATCTCAACCTTTTTGCAGAGCTCTGAAAAACAATAACATGACAGCAATGGGAGGTCTGAACTACAGTCTGCAGTTTATGAAAACCCCTTATTGCAAATATAAGAAGGCAACGAAGACAGCACTCAAGCACGGTAATTGCCTGTTAAAACAAATCTGTGTTTTGCCAATCTTTTTTTCCATTTAGTTACATTCAGTGCTCTCTAAAATGGTTTCTAAAGGTCAGTGTTAGGGTTAGTTACTGTAGGCATTTACTGATCAGTTAATAAAAAACTTTGGGTTTTTTTAGCTTGGACCCTATTTTCCTATATTTTGTGTCTAAGTGACTGAGACAACAAGTTTTGAAATTTGTCCAGTATTAAGAGAGCCGCAGCAACGAAAGGCAAGTGTACACTGTTGATTTATGTCCATTAAAACGGCTTGTTTTTGCCACTGACAGGCTCGGATTGTCATCATAAGTGTCTGACAACATTACAGAAAGTACCCCACAGAGAAATTAAATGTTTTTCCTTATCTTTCACTGATCGTTATTGTGACTAAGTCTCACTCAGGAGGAAGTCCCATTCTGAAATGTCGTTAAAGGTGACTTGTTGAAGGAAAGACAACAGTGGGAACATTAGTGAAAGGTGGAGAGAGAAGTGCTGGGAAGAGTTTGTACAGAAAGAATAATTTAGTGCTATCTAAAAGATTCTCAATATCATGGCTGAACGTTTAGCTGATTTCAACTATGTGGAAAGTCAGTAAGATTTCAGAACAAAACTTCTCCTCGGCTGAGACTTGGTTCCACACACTACACTCAATACTGGACCAGTTTAAATAATTGTTTTCTCCATTTAGTCACTTAGACACAAAGATGAGTAACAGGGAGTTTGTTTTGGTCAATGCAATGAATGCAAAACTAACCCATTAACATGTGTGCTGGTGCATGCCATGCTCGTGTGCGTAAAGCGAGGGAGGGAGTGCTTTTTGAGTGACATGTCCTTTTCCCCAAAAGAGAACACTGGGGGCGAAGACGAGCAACTGGCGCCAGCCATCAAAATCCCCCCACTGTCTAAGTGATCCCCAATTAAGTCAACGGGGGAAAATGGTGTCCCTTTGAAAAGTGTTCTTAATCAAACCCAATTAATTCCGCTCCTTTCCCTTATTATTTCCACCGTGGACCACGTCCCGCTAGTCAGCCTGTTAACTAGAGCCTGGGCCCCAGCGAAGGTCACGCTTGGCCAAGCAAAATAACATAATAATGTGCGAAATGAATCACTACTTCTGAGTGTGTCTCTTGCAAATTCTGGGTGTTGCTACATTAAGTCTTTCCGACAAAGGTGTGTTAAGAGGGGGTTATCACTAAATACAGGGTTGTGTAACTCATTTTATCTTCATTTATTCCACTGATTTATTATGCCAAACTGCTGGGGCCTATAATGGTATGAATATTTAGGAATTGCCCTATCAGCAAAACTGAAGCGTGTAAATGAATGGCTGGGCAGTGAGAGAAATAACTTTATGAAGTGCATTATGTCTTATCCTGGGCAATTACTTTCATGATGCAGAGGTGCTACTTTATTTGGCAATCCTTGGTATAATTTTTCATATTGTTTTGTTCTCATAAGTTCTGACAAAATGTCCAAGGCTTAAACAATAGTATTAATTTTACTGGCAACAGTTGATATGTATGGACAGGACGCAAGTTTACCTACGTCCTCTGAACAGTGGCAGTCCATTAAACATGGTAAAAGCCAGGGCAATAATTCTTTGTCATATTTTAAATGGTGCATTCTAAAAGATGACAGGTTTTAACCCAACTTTAAACTGAGCTATCTGCCTCACTAAGACTTAAAAACAGTACTGTCTTCTCAACATTTTCTTTTAATGTCCCACCTCTTGTAGACTATTGTCAGACTATTGTTTTTTTGTAATATACTGATCCTTGAACGCCTCTCATAAAGCCACTGTATCAGCATCTAACAAATTTCTACCACAGCCTCCAAATCTACTTTCCCATGGACCGAAGCTGTGAAGCATCTGACAGAAGTGTCTTGCTGACGTCAACATGTCACAAAAAAAAAGGTGGGTATGGAGTTAAGGTTGTCCGCCTACTAATACATCGCCACAGAGTCCTCAGATGCAAAACAGAGCTCTACACAAACCCCCCATCCAAAAATAAATTGGAGCGGCTAAACCACACAGGCTACTGGAGGGCAATTAGAACTGGAGCCCTTGTGGCCTCTGCAGCCTAGCAGGCGGGGCCTCCTGACACCCCTGGTTGGGCCTGATGGAGTGGAGCTTCATCTGCCTAACGGTCTGGCAAAGCAGCATGGGCCTGGATGAACACAACAGGCCTCCATCAGGCCAGCTCGCTCTGTCACAGTTTACATGGCCTATTGTACACCCGTGCTCATTAACAGCACTAAGTCATGTTGGTGGCTCACTAATGCATGTGCAGAAAGAAAAACAAGATCCACTATCAAAGTGCTGCCACAGTGGTGCTACTGTAACTTTATTTTGTGTTTTGCACATGGAAAATGAAAGTCTAAAAACTTCAAAGGACTAGAAATGAGTTAGAATGAAAAACATAAAAATGATAAACATCCTCACACCTTTATAAATGTGTTTTCTAGTAATAGGAAATGTTCTTTTTTATTTCTTTGGCTTTTTAGTCCACTGTTGTCAACAGGGATTATACAAATATTAACAACAACACCTATAAAACTGACAGTGTGGATGCTGCCATTTCTAAAGGCCATGATAAGATAATGTTTTTATGTGATGTAAATGATAACTCTTCCTTTGACTTTATCATGGTGTCCACAACAGTCTCCCTCAAAGCACTGCCACAGTACTCAGTATCATCTCCAGGTAGGCAATGATAACACTATCTTAATGACACATTATTTTTGCAAGATAGTGGAAAACATGGGTGAAATTAATTGCAAGCTCTTCTTCCCTTGATTCCATTAAATCAGTTTTTTGTTGTCTTTCAAGAGAAAGTAATAGTAGGAAAATGTACTTGGCCAGCCCAGCACCCCTCTGCATAAACACTTAAACACAAGAGAAAACTATCATGACCTTATGTGTCTGACAAACCTCGGCGTACAATAATTTCCTTCTGGTTTTGATCCAACAGTTAAATCAAACTGTGCAAGTTCCATGGGTAAGAGAGGCTGCCAGCACCCATTAACTTTCTCACTCTTAATCCACCTGTCCTTAGTGACTATTTTGTCAACAACGCAATGAGGAGCATCTTTCACCTATAAGATGAAGATTAAGAGGGCATAACAAAAAACAGCGTTGATTACGTTGTGCTGTATCTGTAAATTAGAACCAATATAAATGGTCAAGTTTGAGGGAGGGCCAAAGATAATCAGGTCTTGAAAAGGATTTTTCCGGGGCAACTGAGGGCATTCTGTCTATGGCTGAGAATCCGGGGTTAATCGCTTTAAAAGCAGTAATTAGGTGTTAAGAGGTATGCTTGTCTGTTTAAATTAGCCTCCGAGCTAGATTACGCTCTGTGACTTCCGATAACCTCCCCCATCGGGGCTCAGTGCCCTCCAAAAGGCCAGTTTAATGGTTTAAATAAAACACACACATATCACTTTATAACCTAATCGAGATTTAAGAGGGAAAAGTTGTTTTAAAATAAACATTTGTGCCCACTTACAGAACCTGAAAACAAACCAGAAAATGCTGGACAGCATCTACACTGTTCACATAGAAAATACAAAGAGAAAACCAAACAGACAGACAGTGAGAAAAACCTCTTTGAACAAAGCAAATTTATACTAAAATTGTCTAGTTCTGAGGCTCTATAGCAAAATGTCCAAAGAACAGCACAGTGTTCATTAAACCTCATGAAAATATCATCACTTCAGGGTAGCAGGAACACGTAGACAGAGTTAGGGTCAATATTATTTTTTTATAAAATATATTTCCACAAAAACAGGACACTCCCTCAGATAAGACCGCAAACGTTACTACAAATGACCACAGGCTCTACTTAGCCTCTCATATACTATATTGCATTTGTCAGTACTGTCTGAAATTTCTCAGAAATATACAAAATGAATGTTGACACAAAACATTCACGTTAAGGATTTTCTCCTTTTGAGAAACCTTTTGAGCTAAACCTAATGCCCCCAAGTCCTTGGGACTAAAAACATTTTAAAGTGAATTTAAAAAAAAAAAAATCACAAGAAGTTCATTTACAGAGTTGCTTATTCGTGTCAGTGAAAAAAAGTCTGACTCCTTTGGTGTCACGTGTCCTCGTCATGGGTACATGAAACAAACAGTGGAAAAGCAGTTTGTAAACATTCACAGGAGCAGCTCAGATATCATCCCTCAGTGCCTCATTAGGTCACATGTGCTGCCAAGTTTTATCCATAGACTGAATGTGCTCTTTGGCCTTCATCCTGAGTGCTGCGATGCTGGAACTCCTGTCGTCCTCCATCGGGTATTTGTCGTTGAAGCTGGGTGGGCACTGGTAGGGAGGAGGGCCCATTGGCTGCATACCTTGAACCATGCCAGGTGGGGTGTTGAGGAAGCTGTGGCTTGGGTAGGCGGGCTGCAGGCCCTGCGGTGAACCCATAAACCCTGGGATGGTATGCATGGGCGTGGCACTGGAGATAGGCGAGGTTAGCCAGGGATCTAGGGGCATCGGGTTGGCCACCGGCCCCACGCTAGGAGGCATCGGTGGACGGTTGAAGGATAGCATGGGGGAATCGTGAAGCTTCATGGTGCTGGTGTCCATCTTTTCTTGTCGTCTCCACTTGGCCCTCCGGTTCTGGAACCACACCTGGACAAAGAGAAACGAAATAAGATGAGATGTTTTTCCTTCGCTTGCCCATAGATCAGACGTCTACATGCCTGAAGTTGTACTTGTCCCTTTACAAGTCGTTTCATTTATTCGTGGTTATCAAAGTCATATTTAATCTTTATTTAAGTAAACTCCTGTTTCCACAATACTTGAAATGCTCACTTGTGCTTCAGCATATAAACTTTTACCAGCTGCCATTTCTCACTAGTGCCCAGTTGGTACTGCACTTGTGCAACTTTCAGCATTGATGAGAAGGAAGCAATATGCCTCACTCATTAGCCTCTTTAATCATGAGCTACGCACTTTTTTCACCACTTGCCAGATCAGGCCCAATCTGGATGCCCAATTAGGCAAGTGAGTTGCTAGATTTACTTGCCCTGGGCAATTTGGCAGTCATTATTGTTGAGCCCTGAGATGGTGCAATGAGGCACTGAGACACAACGACAAAATCATGCATCAGAAAAGTCTACATTTTGCATAGATTGTGCTGTGCACTGCCTGCTACTACCACTAGGTGGTGCAGATGTTGGAAGCTGTTTTTATGAGAAGCGTTCTAGGTTTAACTTTAGTTCTCCCAAAAATAGAGTTATTGTATTGCTGCAGGGTGCAAAATAAAGTATAGGGAAATTTAAATAAATAAAATGAATGAATTTTAGTATATTGATCTATAAATGATTAAGCATTTTAGGCTTAATTAGTGATAAAGTAAAGCTGAATCCCTCTACTCAGTATAGTACAGGTTGTGTACCAACATTGGGATATCACACAGTCCTTACCTGAACTCGAACCTCAGGCAAGTTGACCTTCATTGCCAACTCTTCCCGGCTATAGACGTCTGGGTAGTGGGACTTCTCGAAGGCTCGCTCCAGCTCATGGAGCTGATAGGTGGTGAACGTGGTACGGTTTCTTCTGTGTTTCTTTTTAGTGTGCTCTTCCTCTGTATTGGCCTCTGGAGACACCTCAGCGACGTCCACTTCCTTCTGCAGGTTGTTCATTTCTTCATCACACTTGTCACTGGAGAAAAGGTCTGATTCTGAAACGTAGGACAGGATACGTATAGTAAGATGTGTAAGGTGCAAGAAAATATATGCATGTATAATTAGAATTAACGCAACATTGTAAACAAACTGGGTGCAACTGGTATTAAGCCAGTAAGTTTGGTAACAGAACATTTTGACCAATCGTATTTGGCTGAGTAAAGCCAAGGACATAAGGACAGGGCAAGGTAGAGGTAAGCAAGCAATTAAAGATCTTGGAGAGGTTGGGCTACTGTACATTCAACACCACAAAAGCAAACCTCTCAGCCAAGGAGTCCATCATTTAATGTCAGTGTATCAGTTTTGTGCACCACCATTCCTATAAATCAAAAGTAATAACATGCCATATCAGTGAATCTTTGAGTTTACATCTTATAAAGCTTCTTTTGGTTTTACAAAGACAGCTTGTTTGGTACTGTATTCATTCATACTAAATAATGCAAAAGTTTTCACGCCTTGACTTTTGTCTAGTTTAAAGGCAAAAATGTGTCACCAGAAGAAAACATCTCTACGTATGTGTAAGTGTTAAAATTAATGTAACATTTAACAGACAGCCTGATCAAAAAGTGAAATCTTCACTCATCTCTGCGTGATAAAACAGCTTAATGACTGATGCCCTTTATACAGTTGAGGGCTTGCAAACACCAGGGGTTTGGCAAGTCCAAATGACATCACGTCTTTCACTGAATTCTTCCCTTGCACTAATCCCATAGTAACAGATGCTACCAGTTAAACCTGCGAGTCCCCGCCTCCTCTAATCTAACAAGGGACTTTAGTTGGCTTCTGCACAAGCCGAGTAAACAGTCACTGTCCAGATTGCGTCTTCCGAGAAATGGATGTAAAGCAAGTGAGCCATGTGTGTGATTCACCAAAGCTTGTTAATCATACCAAATCGTTTAAGGCAATATGGTCAACAGATCATTGGTTGATTGGTTGATGCCAGGCAGCTTTGTCTTCAAGGTAGTTTGTGAAATCTTTCAAACACGATTCCATGAAAGGGTACTTCATGAATAGAGAATGAGTGGGATGATGGCTTTTACTACCTATCAAAAGTTACTGCCATTATGTTTTTTAGCTGAAAAGAAAAAAAGGTTTTTCCACATTACATCCAGACCATTCCATTTAAATTTTGTAACATGGTGAACTCTACATTAAGCCTGAAACCTGTTCATTTTTTAGCACAGTGAAAATTTCAAGGTGATCTGGAACCACTCTTTAGCCAAAGGAGTCACTCTGTGGCTTTGGCATACAGTTGTATTTGACATAAAGCACCCCCACAGAATGTGTAATCTGCTATCTGCCATATCAATGGTGCAAATGATCATTTTAATCATCACAAATGTGGAGGAAATAAATTAGCTTATTATTGAAGTGCAAATCTTGCAGATAGATTTTAAGTTAAATAGTCTTACAGGATCTTGCTTTGGTGTATGAAGCACTTGAACAGTGGCATTATGTCTTCAGTAGGTGTCTCTGTGGAGAATGGAGGCTGTGGTCAGGTGGGGTTGTTTACAATGGAACCCAGTAGTTAAAACCTTTCACGGCAGAAAAGAGTATCAAAATAAGTATCCAAATACACAGAAACACTGTCCATTCGTTTATGCTCCTCCATTGGTCAGACTTGCTTTTGTAGCTCACCCATTGGCTTTTGTGGCTACTGTATTGTTCATGCAGGTTGTAGCTTTGTCAATATACCATTAATATTTTCAGCTGTTAAGCATAAACAGCACCTGCATAGCAAGCTATATTCAGACAGTCGTGCTTTATGGCATCCTCTATAAACTGTACAGAGATTTATTATGCCTATTATTAAAAATCTGTAGTTTTTAATTGTACACAAATCTTTAATGTTGACTATGTAACAGCAGGTCACACTCACACATGGCCACTTAGAAACTATGAGTTGCAATTTCTTATGGATATGCACGTCCATAATTCTATAGCACTCTAACCATTCTGTTTTTTTAGATGCTTGCAAGATGTGTTAAGTTTCTATATGTAACCTGTTACATGTTTTGATTGCTTTATGTAGCCAGTGAATAGATTTAAAAAACATCTTTCTCGGTTGCTTATAATTATTGCTGTGGGGTGTACTGATTTCTATATAAAGGACTTGGGATGGATTTTCCGGGAAAATCCAAAGGATGTGATGTGTTCCCCAGTTCCTGTCCTGTTTTCAGCTCCCCTACAGCACCAACTCTTTGTGCAGCACTAGCTAACGTTAGCTAATAAATGGAGTCTGCTACTGTCAACAAACAACCAGCACCTACCATAACAGAGTCCATTCATGCTGTGGCTGCTTGGAAATGGACCTTCATTTAGTGAGTGTGGCAACTCTAATTCAGCCAGTACAATATCCGGTGCTTGCAGTCTGATCTTGGACTGCCCTGACTCCCTGACCTGCAAACTTTCTGTTGCTGCTGTCACACAGGTTAGTCCCAGCCCACTGTGACCCCTGCTCCGGGATTTGCACTGGACGAATTTAAGTTGCTACAGCCACTAACCAAAGTTAGGCAAAGGTGTAACTAATGATTGCTTTCTACTAGCCAGGAGCAATGCAAGGCAGGGGTGTCTAAGTTAACTAGCAAAGCTAACCTAAGCTCAAGTTAACCAGCTAGCTATAACTTAGCTACACTGCATGGACATGCCATTGGTTGCTCTAGCATCAGCTGATCAAGTGATTTGCAAATGGCCAGCTATCATGGAGCCAATGATCCAAATAAAATTTAAGAACATCACAGACAATAGGGTTATTCTAGATGTGATTGTAGTTTTTCCAGCCTTCTAGCAACACAGTGTGGTCAAGTCATTGTTTTGGCCAGTGCCTAGTTGCTCACTTGAGCCTGCCTGAGTGTGAGCGTGAGTAACAGGATGCTGACCCTACTTTACTGAACGACCATTTCTGCCATTAATAACAAGGATTGCAGCTGAGTACAAGTTACACACAGACCCTTTTAGTAGTGAATATAGCAACATTGCATTAGATAACTTACAACAGGTGAACATATTAATAAAATCTGAAGGGTCATGCCTATTACAGGATTTAACAGTATTTTTAGGATACAAGTGGTTTTAAAACAAAAGTGAACGAAAACTGAATTATGTTCCAAACAACATCCCTTACAGTGGGTTGCAATGGCTGATAACAGGGTAATTTCGCTGGCTTCTCAATCTCTTACATACAACCAAACTCAGTCCATACTTACAAAAACCTGCTGTGTGGACAAGTTTTGCTCTAATCTACAGAACATTATTTCAAATTTGATCAACACATAGCAAGAAGAGCACAGATGGAAGTAATTACTTTCTTGGCTCTCCTCCATTTAGATGTGCTATTAAGCTAGCATGCACAATACCAGAGCCCTGGCACTAAAACACCTGAATGGAATGTAACTGTTATTAGTAGCTGTATGTGTCAAGTCAAAAGAAAAACTGAGCGACCTGCTGCAGGAAAATGTGTGTAAAATGATGCAGAGGGCATTTATTGTACTTATGTTTTACATACAGTAAAGGTGCAGCCATCACAAAATGTTGCATCTTGGTTTTAATTATTTTACTCAGCTAAATATTATATCTATTATTATTACATCTATATTAAGTAAAACTTTAAAACAAACAGAAAGAGTCCATGTGATATTGTAATTTATCTCTAACTTTGAATATGTAAGGCTACATTTAAGTGGAAAATACTGAGCTGGGACACTCATGAGCAAAGACTACATTATCTAGGACACTATGGCCCTTGTATATTTGTCGTTGCACTGCAAATATGACAGTACAGTTGCAGAAATGACTGGTTTTCCATGAATGAAAGACACAAATATAAATGCAGGACTTAAATGTAGTACTGTGCCGCCCTTTTCCACTCACCAGAACTGCTGCCATTGTTGCTCATTTTGCAAAGTGGGGCCTAAAGTACAAGCTATATGTACATAGTTCACATCACCGTCATTTCAGACACCCAAATAACTCATCATGAGAGGGGTTACTTAATGTTGACATGAACGTCTTTATGTAAGGACCCAATATTTTGGGAAAATTGTGTGGACGTATTGCGTTTTAAACTGGACACACAAGCCTCTGACAAACTTAGTACAGCTCTACTTCCGATTGTTGTAGTGTCATTATGATCCTGAAGAAATGTTTTAGAGTTCTTTTTGTCTGAAAAGACTCACCATGGTAGGTAGAATGTTGGGAGTTGTCACCCAGTTCTGGAAGGTGCCCATAGGTGTCTGAGGGGACCTGCTTCTCAGGGTGCGGTTGGTTTTCTCCATTGGCTTTTTGACTGTCATCATCGCCCACCGAATGGAGTAAAGGGTCCTGGTCTTTAGTGAATCCCAGTATGACATCAATACTGTGGACCCTGCCTGCACCGCTTGACCCGGCACCTTTTGCCATGTCATAGTTGTCCAAGCAACTATCGTCCACTATTCCCAGGGTATCCATTGACAAATGCATCCGAGCCTTTTGAGACACTTTCTCTTGTCTTTGTCAGAAGGAAAAAAGCAAAATGCTACAAAGTCAGATGAGGCAGAGCAGTTCTTCAGAGATGTTGTTCTGCTTCACGTGCAATGGAAGAGATTTATGTGAAGCGTGAGGGCTGTATCCTTCAAGGATCACTCCAGTGAGGCTGAACGTATTGTTTACACAAAAGCGGAACAAACTCACATCTTTGTCTGCAAAGGAATGAGAGAAAAGAATTAAGATATGGCAACAACAGTAAAGCTGTGCACTAATAAGTAATTTCATGGATTTTTAATATTCTTTGCAGACTGTTTTACATGTAAGAGTTGCAGTGGAAATTAGACATGCCAGTGTGATATCTGTAGCAACAAGCAGGTTCCCTTGTTTTCATTACATTGAAAAATTACTTTAAATAGTGAGTGTGATTATCTTCCTATTTTGGCCATAAAAAATCAAGTTTGTTTTGTTAGTATGATTTCCATCATGATGGATAATCATGATCGTAAACACGTGTGTTGTTTACGCAGGCTATATTAAAAAAAAAAAAAAAAAAAAAGATATGGAAAGAAAAAAGTAGAATTCAGAAGTGAATCAGCAAAGTTTATAGTGTCTAGAAAAAGTAATCAAATTGTCTCTCAAGTTGGTTCCCATCAGTTTTTAGTTATGCATTTTAAACTGCAGAAGTTTTTACATGTATATGAAGATTATTAGGTTTAAAGTCTACCCAAATACATTTTAAATGTCTTGAGAGGCACCAAAAAGCAAGCTGCACTTGGACCATATCTTTATCTTTTTCTTGAATACAAATGAGCATTATGGAAATTCATGCATCAATAGACAGGACTTACAGAATGCACATTGAGGAAGTACATAAAGTAATCTTACCTTCTGTCAGATTCCTACCACAGGCTACACTACATACATGTTGTCTCTGTAGTCCATAAGTAGACGAATGACACTAACAATATCTACTGTAGGCACTTGTTACTCCTGCTTAAGTCCTTGAAATCCCCTGCACACAAGTGAGCAAAGGACTTACCGCTGGAGTCCTGTGCAACAAGCACATGTAACGTCTTTCTCTCCTGACAAAACTCTCCTTAACCACACAAGACACCAAAGCTTGCAGGGAATGGTAGTAAAACCAAAGGGTTTAAGAGGTTTATTAATTGGAATCCTTCCCCTTTAAGAATGACTGACAGTTGTTTTCTGGTCAAGTAATTGCTCCAAATATGTCCTGCATTCAGACCACAGAGGGAGGCCATTGCTAATGAAGCCTCGACAAAACTTTCTTTCAAAAAATCTATTGTCTGAAAGATAATGGCTCGTACTGAGAGTTTTCGCTAATCCCTTCATTATAGACAATGTAAGGGAGAAAAGACACAGAGATGGACTTTTAACTTGAATGGCTGCACACTGTAAAGACTTGTATTCAAAAAATAGTTTCATTCAAGTGGGCACTTGATACTTAGTGAGCAGTGTTTCATTTGGAGTAGCCGGCTTTAATAATGAACTAATAAAAAGCAATGTTGTAATGGTTTCATATTTTATTGTAGACAAATTTACTATAAGTAGTACACAACTAACTAATAATAATTGTCTGATGTGTGATGCATGAGGACCTACAAGACACCAAAAAAAGTCTGTAGTTTAAAGTATAGATATCCTCTTTTTAACCTAATTAATTCAAGCAATTAGCTGACAAGACTGACTTTGAACCTACCCTTATCACCCCTTTAACATTCCTCAGTTGATCGTGTGACACACAACCATTTTGTTTACATGTGTCAAATAAATAGGATGATTAACATGTTGTGTTTGACAAATAATCTTATTGCTCAGCCTCTGATAGTTAACAGTAGAATTGGGTTGGGGGCATTGGGGGCGTTTTATCCTGTAGCCTGCAAGTTTCTTCTCTGCCAGCTGGCACAACCAAAGCTGTGGCAGCTACAGTAGGTGTTGCAGAGATCAATCCTATCCTTAATGAGCCTAAAGACTTCACTAGAGATTTCCTCTGACCTCACTCTTCCTATCTTAAGATATATTTAGGAGTTCTTTGCAGGCCAGACAAAAAAAAAAAAAAAAAAAAAAAAATCCAACATGGAAAAGTGGTGCAGAACATATTCTTTAAGGTGAGAAAACAAATGTTTCAGAAACAAAGCCTCATCAAGAGCATACAGATTTTTTTAATTCTGTTATTATGACTCAAACACCACAAATACCCTTTGACACGTATTAAAGACCCTAGCGGGGAGCTTCCATCCATGGATACACCATCCTCTAGGAGTCAGGGAGACACATAGAAATGTAACACTTTTCTTACGGACTGCCACATACTTAAGCGGCCTGTAGAATTTTAAATGCTAACAAGTTTAAAGCCATCTGGCAACACTTGGCTGCATTGCCAGTGCTTTCTATGAGCAGAATGGCTGTGGGTTAAGTGGCTTTGGCTGAACACCTTTTCTCGGTTGTCATGGTTGTTTTCGAAGAAAGCGGAGACTGCAAAGCCCATTACTTTTGCCTGCGAGCGACAAGCTTTGCCACTAGATGATTGAAATGAAAGATGTCCCTGGGGGTTGGGATTTGCCCTGAAGTAGGTTGTTGTCATGGGGTGAATCTAAATAAAGTCAGGTCTGTGGGGTGTTTTGGAGAGATAGCTTTCTCTAACTTTCAATACATGCACAAAAACAAAAGAGCATGCAAAAGGTGTATTCACTGATTCGATAGTGCTTTCATTTATTTATTTATTTATTTATTTTAATGAGTGGTAATTTTCCGTTGTGTTCTGTGGCATCAGATATTTGGCACCAGGATTTCAAAATATTTTTCTGGCAAGGCAAAACATTGAAAGGAGCATTAATTGCCTTAGTAAGCTGATACCATAAGACAGTCAATGGACTTAGCGGATGATAATTAGTCCCATTAGTTAGTGATGCAAGTGAGAAGATTCATTGTGAGTGATTCAGTATATTCACTTGTTGAGTCGTCAAGAAATATATTATACACTCAATAAATTCTGTTCCCTGTCAGAAAAGTTTGAGCCGTCGCTTTGCCATCATTTTGTAGACCAACACTGACTCTTAACACATGTTCACATGTTTAGAAAACTGTGTGTATTTGCAATCCATTTCACCAAACTAAGTTGATTATCAAGTTGACTTACTAAAATCCCTTGTAATACTGTGTGCCAATCATCTGTGTTACTCTTTAGTCAAGATGGTTCAAAGGATCTTTGAGAGATCAATTTTTAAAGGAAATCCTGCATTACAAAATTGACATGGTCAGTTTGAATGATGTGGGAGTTTAGATGAGGTCATGTGGGGCTTGATAAAAAATTGCATTGTGGCAAATGTAGGATCCAGGGTTTTTGAAACTTATCTCATACAAGGCACCAAAACATTGGATATCAGGGCCTCTGCTGATTCAATTTTTACCGTTCTTTTAAAAAATCTGTCTCTTGTGAGCCCCCCAACTTTATGGAAGTGCAATCATAAAACTGGAGTACCCCTTTAAATTCCAAGGTACATATCTGATTAAAGGTCCAGTGTGTGGGATTTAGTGGCATCTCTCTAGAGCCAGTGTCTGGTTTGTCCATTTTGGGCTACTGTAGAGACAAGATGGCGGACTCTGTGGAGGAGGGCCCTCTCCATTTGTAGATATAAACAGCTCATTCTAAGGTAATGAAAACACAAGGATTCTCATTCTCATGATTATCATGATAATATCTTTATGAATATGATATACTCTGTCTGCCAATAAAGGCCACACACCAGACCTTTAACATTTTATGTAGGATTTCTCATAGCAGGAAAATAGCAGCTGTAATTAATAACATTAACGATGGCTCAGTTCCATTAAGTGTTTTATTGCACCAGCATGTACAATTCATACAGGGGCCTTAAAATCTACATGGAACTCAGCCTGCAGTGAGTTGTTATTAATTACACCAGTTTGACCAATCAATCAATATCTCTGTTCTTACATGTGTATGTGGACATTTATACTTGTTATGACATTGTGGACAAATCAATTAACATGTTCTTAGACCTAATTCAAGTATTTCTGTCCTTTACTGTTTGGCCCGCTCCATTAATGGCTAATAATTGTATGAGACTTGCAAGATTCTCCTAATACCACCCAAGTTGTACACAAGGGAAATTGATAATCATTTTATCACATTAATATATTAAAGCTGTCCCTCTTTGCTTGTTTCCCCATTATCCTAATTGAGTACAAATTGGTTAAGAGGGTGCAGCATAGCTATCAAGCTCCTTAGTTTTATCAGATGACAATTTAAGCCTGTGACATCCTATTAGGAAGAAAGCAGCTAATGTTTAAAGGCGCTGTGTCAGCTTACAGGGGGAAAGGGGGATGGTGAGCAGCAGGGGGATGACAGGGAGATGATGGAAAGGGAGGGTAAAAAGCTGAGAGACTGGTCACGTGATCAGCTTGAGCTGAAATGTGAAGGAAAAGCTGACAGGGTTACATCTTGTACAGTTGTAGACGTGCTGGTTCATGATGTCGCTGTGTGAGCCACTTAGTTACTTTTAAAGGACTTTTAACCTGTATTCACTGCCAGGATTAGTTCATTTTGTTTAGAATTCTAAAAATTCAGCTCAGGATATCTAACATGGCTACACAAGTAAAAAAAAATGTCAATGTTTATTCTTATTAATTAGGACAAATATCTAATGCAACTTTGAAGTAACAGAGGGGACAAGCAGGTATCAGGATAAAAAGTTTAATACTCAATTAAAGAGGTAACGGAAAACTTTTTAACTTTTTTCCCTATCACAGTTACAAGCAGTCGCTGTCGCATAAACAACTGGATCACTATTGATTTTCCTCAGAGCCTAGCAACTACACAGTCTCCACAATGGTGGACACTTCCTTTGTGCAATAAATGGAATCCTTTGCTTTCCCAGGCAGTGGCGGTTCTAGCCTAAATGGCGCCCTGGGCGACACCCCCCCATGGGCCGCATTTACCTGACCGAAAACGACCTGAGTCCAACGCAGTTTGTTACCTGACATAGTTATTGTTATGGACAGTGTGTAACACGCAGCTCACACAGCAGCACAGCACAACAGCACAACACAGCACTGAACACAAAGTCAATTGGAGCGGAGCCTTCTTCACCACGCACAGAAGCGTGGTATGATACACACCAGGCACGTCAGTTGTAAACAACCCAAGTTGTCAAATACTGCCATTTTGTCAGTGGACATTGGCGTCAGAGATGGACGCAGAGAGACACCTTTCATGGCAGTAGGATATGCCCAGGTCGGCAGCAGTTTGCAGCACCCGTGACAGCTACCATAATATAAATAGCAACACAGTAAAGGGATGCAGGAGGGGAGGTGGATGGGTCAAACTCCAGACTTTGGCCCGGGACCCCACTGTTCAGTTTCTCTGTGAATTTTAAGCAAAATCATGATGCTTTTCTCTAAACCTAACCACGTGCTCTTAATGCTTAAACCCAAGGAAATTAACCTAAAAATTAAGTGCATGCAGTGTATATTTTTTTAAATACTGTATGCATGTAACAAGCAGAAACAGTACATTTCCTGTGAAAACGAAAGTATATTTTGAAAGATAAAGCATGTAACAAGAGTTGACAGGCCTTCTGTGAACATCCAAAGCAGACAGAGGATGGTACCTGGCACATCATATTTTGACGTGTATGTCCACTGACAAAGCGACCGTATCTGACGAGTTGGGATGAGAATGTGTTGGAGTTGCATAGTAAAAGCGAGGTTTATAGGAAACCAGTCCAAACACTGATTGTGTCATTTTTCCACAGCCATTAAATTGTGCAATAAACATTAATTTCATCATCATAAATTAAAGCAAAAACCCACTTTAAATAGTATGTCTCATAACATGCTCTGTAGGTACAAGCAACTCAAACTTCAAGCCAGATCAGGATGCACATATCCACATCCAGGGAAATCAGGCTGGACTGTAGTTGAAGTGGGTCCTTGATGGATGTGCAGTAATGTTGAAGATTTGGTTATTTTTAATCCAGTGCTTTAACTGACACAGACAGAGTTGTTAGGCTGGGGTAGAATAAATATTTGGAGGATTCAGGTACTTTTAATCTT